AGAACCTTGGACAAAACAGAGAACTAGTCTTTAAGCACTTTTTGTGGATTATTGACTTAAAAACTGGCTATATACTTGGCCACTAAGACAAGTAAGTAGCAGACACTTTAGGTAGAGCCGGAGACTACTGGGTTTCAATAAGAGGGAGCACCAGACCCTACATCATGCCTTGTACAAAAGGTAAATGGATACAGATTATAGGTCTAAAATTATAAGTTAAAACAAAGTTTCTAGAACCAAAATGAAAGATTCACAGAACACAGCAGTGATAAATCAGGCTTCATCAAAATGAAAACATTGTATTTCATTAAAAGTGTCACAGATTGGGACAAAAATGACTTCAGAATCTGACAAAGTACTTGCAACAAGAATATAAAAAGAATTCCTGAGGGGCTGGCCAGTGGTGTGGTGGTTAAGGTACTGAACTCCCACATGGTTGACAGCAGTTTGAGTCCCGGACCTGGCAGCTTGTTTTCTTACTTTCTCTCTCTCTCTCATCAAATTAAAATAAATAAATATAAGAAATTAAACAAATAACTCTTAAGAAAAAAGAATGCTAAAAGTGAATGACTTTCTAAAATTAATCCAATTTAAAAATGGGCAAAGATTTATCCACCAAGGATTTGGAGTAACCAGAAGTTCCATATTGTTCATAGGAGTATATAATGGTACAACCACTTTGGGAAAAGATCTGGACTTATCTTCCAAAACTAAACATTATTATTCTGGAAGTTTTGGCCAGGACAAACTGGCAAGGAAAAAAAAAGTTTTCTACATTTGAAAGGAAGAAATAATGACATGTATTGAATATGGACAAATCCTAAAGATTACACACACACACACACACACACACACACACACACAAGAGCTAATAAACTGTAGGGAGCAGCTGAATCTGAGCTAAATAATAGTGACCTTTAAAGCTAAGCAGAGCACTGACTCTCCCTTGGGCACAGGCTCTCTTGCTTGGGCCGATGCTGCACAGCCCGCGGAAGTTGAAGGAAACAATATTTTGGCCAGAGAAGGCCAGGTGGGGCTTATTTAGACCAAGGGCTGCAAGATGCTCCACAGCTTAGTTGATAATAGCAGATGCATGGCTTTACCTTACACTTCTCCCGTCCGCCACTGCCCTATAAAGGGATAAGCCTGGGAAAGGCTCAGGCAGCCTTCTCCATCAGACACGTCCGGTCCAGCCAACCCCTGCTTTTCTCTACTGTGTATCTCTGTGGGATTGCTCTTTCCAAAACCCACTGTCGCTCCCACTAGTGCAGGTCCCTCCCCCTTTTGCCTAGTAGGGCTCGACAATGAATGAGTTCAGCAGTGTTGCAAGATACAAGATTCTGCAAAATGGGAAGACATTTCATGTTGGTGGATTGCAGGGCAAAACTGTTAACAGAGTAATACCTTAAAACTGATCTACAGATTCATTGCAGTCCCTAACAAATTCCCAGCTGGCTCCCTCGACCACCCCTCCAAAACTTGGCACTCTGGTGTTAAAAGTCATCCAAAGATATAAAGGATCCAGATAGCCAAAACAACCCTGAAAAATAAGAATAAAATCAGGAGACTCATAATTTACAGTGTCAAAATTTACTACCAAGCTATAGTAATCAAGACAATGTGGTATTGGCATAAGGACAGACATATGAATCAATGCAGTAGAACTGAGAATTCAGAAATAAGTCCTCATATTTATAGTTGGCTGATTTTTCACAAAGACAATTTGATAGGAGAAGAGATTTTTTATTTGTTTATTCATTTATTTTTTTCCATAGGGTGCGTGTACTCTGTGGAGAGAGATAGAGAGTGGGAAAGCGAAAAATTACTCCCCAGAGGAGATGGCCATGCCACAGTCCCTTCTACTCCATTCCCCACTCAGAATTTTGGACATGCATGCACACACATCCAACGTGATTTTTAAGCTGTTGGGTCCGGGACTTGAACCATGGTCAGCCGTGTGGGAACCCAGTACCTTAACCACTATGCCACCTGCTGGCCCTGAAGAAGAGTATATTTAAAAAATGCTGCTGGGACAATTTGATATCTGTATGCTAAAAAAAAAAGAAAGAAAGAAAAAAAAGCTGGACTCCATGCCCCCACCCCACATCATACACAAAAAGAACTCCAAATAGATCACGGAGCTAAATATAACTGCTAAAACTATGAAACTTTTAGGGACCAGCAGTTAGTGTAATGGCTATGTCGCTGGACTCCCATGTGGTCGACCGCGGTTCACATCCCGCATCCGGTGGCTTAAACTCACGCTGGGCGCGTGTGTGTGCATGCCCAAGATCTTGAGAGGAGAATGGAGGAGAAGGGATTGTGGCATGGCCATCCCCCCAGGGGGTGATTTCTCGCTTTCTGTCTCTCTGTCTCTCTCTGTCTGTCTGGAGAGCACATGTGCCCTATAGCAAAAACCTCTCAAAACAAACAAACAAACAAAAAACCAAAAAAACAAAACTATAAAACTTTTAGAAGAAAACAAAGAAGCGTGTGTTCATGATCTGAAGTAAATGAATCCCAAATGATGCTGAATGAAGAAAACAAATTTCAGAACGTCTGCAGCATGACAGCTCTCAAATAAAACATATGAACTTTCATAACAAGAGAACATATAATGAAAGGAGGAATGGGCACATACATATGGAAAGTAGGTATGGAAATATGTATCAAATGGTTCCTTTCAGAAAGGAAAGGCAACAGAGCCAACGGGGTAATTAATGGGCTTAAAACTTAAAACAACCCTCGCAATCTTTTGTTTCTGAAAAATACAAACAAACAAACAAACAAAAAAACCCTCTCTGAAAAAATTAAGGCCCCATGTTAACATCTGACAAAAGTGGGTGTGGGTATACATATGTACTTGTATGAGTATTTTAAATAATTGCCAATTTGACAAATTACTTCTTGAAGTGAGACATCCTCATCATAAGTATTCACTGCTAGTACAGCATAGTGCAAAAATGAAGGTACATCAAATTGATCTAAAATGACACTAATCCCGGGAAGAATTCTAGAAATTGCTTTTGGAATAAGTCCCTGATATTGACTCCTTTGTTTTTATACCAAATTGAACTACAAAGTACGTGCCCCAGAATGATCACTGGAATTTTCCACTTGTTGTATTCTATATACAAATACTTGTGGCTTATGTTTATTTTTCTCCCTCTCTCTGTTCCTAAATTTGTTTTTATCAGATTTTCCCAAGCTAAATCTCTTCCTTTTGTTTTTTTCCTTTTACTAGATTTGCATTTCCTCTTCCAAGTGACTGTACAACATTGTTTTCTTTTTCCATTTGCTCATAAATCCGTACATTTCCTTGACTGGCTTTTTGTTTTCATATACGTTGGTTGTTTTGTTTACACTTTTCCTACATCTCCACTTGTCCCAAGTACAGGTCAAGCTCCAAGGCACTAGTAAGCTGCAGTGATTTTTGGTTTTTTTAAAAGATTATTTATTTAACTTTATTTGCTAATATTTTTAAAATTTGACCAGAGAAAGGGAAAGTGAGAAAGCAAGCCATCAGGTCCAGGACTTGAACTGTGGTCAGCCATGTGGGAGTCAAGCACCTCAACCACCACGCCATTTGCCAGCCCCCATAAGCTACAGGTTTTTTTGTTTTGTTTTATTTTGGACTTTTTGTTGTTGTTGTTGTTGTTGTTGTTATTTTGGGCTTTTTTTTGTTGTTGTTGTTGTTGAGAGATTTTTGCTATAGGGCACGTGTGCTCGCCAGAAAGACAGAGAGAGACAGAAAGCGAGAAATCACCCCCCGGGGGGATGGCCACACCGCAATCCCTTCTCCTCCATTCTCCTCTCGGGATCTTGGGAACACACGCACATGTGCCCAGTGTGAGTTTAAGCTGCCAGGTTTGGGACTCAAACCATGGCCAACTACATGGGAGTCCATGGCATAATCATTACTCCAACTGCTGGTCCCAAGCTACAGTTTTTACAAAGAGGAAGAAGTTCATTTATTTAGGCCTAATGGGATGATTTGTATGTAGAGAAAGATTTGAAAATTATTTAAAAGGGTCCAAAGTTTCTTCTGTATATATTTCTCCTGAGGGGGTATAGGAAGCTAGAAGGGCTGGCTGTGAGGAAGACACAGTCGTTGTCATTGTTAGAGTGAGGTCAATTCAGTGGGCAGCTGGCCCTTCTATTAATATCTGTGTTACAGGGCCCAGTAGGCTGCTTGGCTTAATCACATGGACACGAAAGGTGAGTCTCTTATCATTTTCTCTTCTCAAGCAACATCAGTTATTTACTGAACACCTTCCACTGCCAGAGTTCTAGGTACTTGATGCTATTTCATTTAGCTTGTAATTCCCACTGGGGAAGGCATTATCATCCTTACTTTGCAGATAAAACACAGAGTCAGAGGAGTGAAGCAATATGAGAGACCTTCAAAAACCTAATTGAAAATGTGTATTATGAAAAACTATGCAAGGATTTCAAAATGTTCTTGCATCAAAATAAACTCATATTTTAATTCCATTTTTCCATGAACTTTTTGAAGCACTCTCATCTATGCAAGGTTGCACAGCTGCTTAAAGACAGAGCCAAGATTCACACTCAGCCATGGCTCATGGCAAAGCCAAGCCCTTCACCACCACGCTGCTTCTTCCCTTTCAGGCTGCAGTGGGATGCTGAGCCGATTGTTTTTTTGTTTTGTTTTTTCTTCTTGGTAGAAGAGTTGCTCTTCACAAACCACCATACAATCTACTCGTGTTTTTACTGAAGATGGGGCAATGGTTAAGTCTTCAAGAAAACAATTTGAATCTTCAGGTATGACATTCATCAAAGCAAGCATTTCCATACACACATGTGTGTGCATGCACACACACACACACACACACACAGACGCATATATACACTATGTAGACATGTTTGTCCTTGTGTGGGTAGCCAGGATGGCTGCTGTTGTATGAGAAGAGCCCCTCAAACAGTGTTCCCATAACTGTGTGCCCTGGACCAAATCCCTGCTGGCAATGGAGGCATACCTGGATAGGGTCCTGCGTCAGTCTCATGGGCCCGATGCGTACCTCTGCAGAAGACACCTGCCAAATAAAGGACAGTGCATGAAAACTGTGAAGTCTGAAACTACACAAACTGACAACGCCTGCCTCAGGGAACATGGCACACTGTATTACTCTGCAGACTCTAAATGAAAGGATTGAACTTACTGACCTGGAAACAGGTTACAAACACCATGTATGAGACAATTCTGGTTTTTTTTCTTTCTTTCTTTCTTTTAGAGAGGCTTTTGCTATAGGGCATGTGCACTCAGAGAGACAAAGAGACAGAAAGAGAAATCACTCCCAGAGGGGATGGCCATGCCACTATCCCTTCTCCTCCATTCTCCTCTTGGGATTTTGGGCATCCATGCACACACACCCGGCATGAGTTTTAAGCTGCCAGGCTTAAAACATGCTCAACTATGTGAGAGTCCAGCAACGTAACCATTAGGCCATCTGTTTATCCCAACAATCCTGTTTTCTAAAAGAAACACACATACACATATGCACTGGAAATTCCAGGAAGGATATATCTCCAAACACTATGTGATAGAAAGTTTGGGCTATTTTTACTTTAAGTGTGAAGTGTGTGGACATTTATAATAAGCATGTATTATTTTATGAGAGAAAACAATTCACTTCAATAATTATTTACTGAGCACCTACTATACTCTGGACACCATGGTAAGGCTATTATCTGAAATTTCAGAAGGGAAAAACTCTCTTAAATATGGATGCTAACGCCTATCTATGGCTTAAGAGATGTCCCTATATTTAGAGCTTATTTTTCATATGTTCATGTTTTATAGAAAATAAACAGCTAACTTTGACCCATGTTTACCATGAATAAATGAGCCATCTCAGTTGTGTTTCCTCAAATAAACTGAGCAATACCGCACCGAGACCACAGGAGGCTAATTCCCAGGACTCCAGGATTGAGCCTAGGTCTCTTAGGTGTTCCCTGGCCAACGCCATCTAACTGCCTTTGACTGCAAGTAGACAGCAAATATTTGTCTTTATTTTTAATTACATTACTTGGATTTCTAAAAATGTCTTCTCCAGACTAATTTGGTTGAAAGTCTTGGCCTCACCTCCATGCAGTTGATTTGTTTTCTTCTAAGAGGCTGTGGTCCTTTGCCTCTACTTGGAATCTTATTTCGCACACAAAACCCTGTACTAGCCCTGTGCCAGCTGGAAGGAGCACCATCAGCAAGCTGCAATGCACAGGCCAGAGCAGGGCAGGGGAGGCTTTGTCAGTTAAACAAACAAATGCAGAGCTCTCTTTAAATTATACTTCAGAAGACTCTAAAGATTTCTCTTTCTCTTTTCTGTTTCCCAAGCCAAATGCCTTGTGCTCGTGGTATGAATATTCTCCAAATCCTCTCTGGGGTTGACTTTTCCATCTCACCCCAATGTCACAGCGTGAAGAAATCATGCTAGCGAGCACAGGGCAGAGACCCTGCAGTAAGACACAAGTCTCTGTGAAGCCAGCCCATGAGGAAAGGGGCCTGGCTGACATCCAGAGATCTCCGTGAGTGTGCCAGGCACACACCTGCCCATGATCCAGGGCTGGCTGAGGACGGAGGGTGGACAGTGGCATCAAAACCTTGTTAGGGATACTCTGTCCCTGTGTGTCTTTTGTTCATGGAAGAAATAAGTAAACTTAAGAAAGAAGAAAGAGGTAGAGAAAGAAAGAGAGAGTGAGAGGAGAAAGAGAAAAAGGAAAGAGAACAGAAAAGAGGAGAGGAGGAGGGGAGGAGAAGGGAGGAGAGGGGAAGGGAGGGGAGGGGAAGAGGGGAGAGGAAGAGAAAAGATGCTATGTGTTTTGTCTCTCACTAAAGCAGCCAGCAGAAAATCTGAAGAGCCCTCTAATGACTCCTGGTGCTCTGTGGGGATCCTCAGGAGGGCAAAGCTGCCTCCCCAGACTGCAGGGCCCTCCAGCAGACCTGGTACAACCAAACCAACTTGGGACGCCCAGCACCTGACTGTGAGCCTGTAACAAGTTCCTCATGTTTCACCGCTGTGTTCAGGTCAAACCGGCACACTCGAGTTGAGTGCGTCCTTCTGGTACACTTCTTTCCTCTAAGCAAATCCATACCCTGCAAGGTACGTGTGCTGAGAGCCGCAGCCTACGTGCACAGCCTCAAGAACAACTCCCCTGGGAGACGAACGTCACCGTCACCGGCCGTCTGCGTCACTGGGGGAGAGGCCCCCGCCCAGCTCCACTCCCAAGGCATTTCTGTTGTTTGCGATATACACCCTCCTTCAAAAGCAGTGGGGACTGCTGGATCTTTGCTAAAAAAAAGTTAATGATTACAAAGTCCAACCGAAGTGGTATATTAAGATAAATCTGATTGATAATCTGGGGTACCATTTCACTTTTCCTGTGTGCTCTCTCCTGAATTCCCTGAATCTGCCACACACAGAAGGCCCTCACAATGCCCCCTGTCAATGATTTCTCCAGCAAAATCAGCTCATAAAGGAGTCATCCAGGGGCAGATTTGTGAATAAAACGACAAATCAATAGAAGTTTCAAAGGAAAAAAATTAAAAAGTGAATCACTGTGACAGGCTAAGAGAGTGAGGAAAGGGCTTCTCCAAGAAGGGCACAGATTGTACAAGAAAATAAGAAAAATTCACCCTAACTGACAGATTGCCTACATACTTTTTTTTTTTGGAGAGATTTTCACTGTAGGGCGCGTGCACTCGCCAGACAGACAGAGAGAGACATAGAGACAGAAAGCGAGAAATCACCCCCCAGGGGGGATGGTCACGCCGCAATCCCTTCTCCTCCATTCTCCTCTTGGGATCTTGGGCACGCACGCACACGCGCCCGGCGTGAGATTCAAGCCACCGGGTCTGGGACACGAACCGCGGTCGACTACGTGGGAGTCCAGCGACATAGCCATTACGCTAACTGCTGGTTCCCCCTACATACTTTTTAAAGTAACCACTATGCACATAAACTAGTGACATGACTAACCTTATGAGACGGTGGGAGGCAGGCCATTTTAAACTCCTCCTGAAGAATATCTTATGACCAGGAGCATTCTTTAGGCCCCCTCTGTCCCAGGCATAGAGCTAGTCACTCTCACTCATCAGGTCTTAGGGAGAAGATAGGCCTCCGCGTGACAGCATGCAATTTTAAATGCGACGCTCAAGCTGGAAGTGTTTCTCCCTAAACACAGAAAGGATCCTGAACCTTCTCCCGTACCCACAGAAGTTCTCTACCTGTACCCAGGGTTTTCACCTCTGCCTGGACCAGCTCTGCTGGAGGACAAGCCATAAGCATTGGGTGGGAGGAAAGCAGAGACTGCAGGGGAAATGCAAAGCTGCTGTTGATGGACCCTTGCCAAGTCCCCCTGACCCTCACGGCTCGACATGACCCTTTCCCACCCCTTCCCAACCCTCTTTTTTATTTGGAGAGGTTTTTGCTATAGGGCGCGTGCGCTCGCCAGACAGACAGAGACAGACAGAGAAACAGAAATCAAGAAATCACCCCCCAGGGGGAATGGCCATGCCGCAATCCCTTCTCCTCCATTCTCTTCTCAGGATCTTGGGCACGCACGCACACATGCCTGGCGTGAGTTTTAAGCCACCGGGTCTGGGATGCTAACCGCAGTCGACTACATAAGAGTCCAGCGACATAGCCATAACGCTAACTGCTGGTCCCCCCCTTCCAACCCTTTCTACTGTGCCACCACCCAGAGGCTTTCAGTCCTCCTCCACCTCCAGCTTGGGTGCCTCCGCCTACCAGCTCCTCTAGTCCTGACTGACACTGCGCTTCTGTCTCTTGGCTTGCCTTTTCTTCTGACCTTGGCGTCTGTGTCCGAAAGAAGTCAACTGTCCCAACAGAACCCCAGGATGTGTCCTTGCTGGCTTCAAAGGCTGGAACTAGGCAGTGGCTGGCAGAGGAAAACCTGCAGTAGGTTTATCCACAGACAGCAGTTTGCAAGGCTCTGTTTGTCATAGAGCAGCCTGACTCCCTGCATTTCACCAATCTATAAAAACAGCAACAGGAGATCATTTACTGACGTCTGCATAGCCAAGTCAAGATTTACTACTTCAAAGAGTGAACTTTGAGCAACTGCAGATGCACAGGTCCTCAATTAGTATATTAGCTCTGATTCCAGGAAGTGACCATATTTTCCAGAGACAAAGAAACAAAACCAAGAGTGGGGTCATTGGTAACACAATTCCAGAGAAGAGGGGGGGATGAGACACAAGTCTGAAGAGAGACACATCCCTATCCCTCCAACCACACAAGTCTTCCCAATAGCCTAATGAACAGGAC